GAATTGGGGTTTAGGGTTTAGGAATTCGGGGTTCAGGGTTTCAGGGTTTTGGAATTGGGGCTTGGGGTTTAGAATTGGGGTTTAGGGTTTCGGAATCGGGGTTTAGGGTTTAGGTTTTAGGAACCGGGGTTTAGGGTTTGGGATTTGGGGTTTAGGCTTTGGGGTTTGGGGTGAAGGGTTTAGGGTTCCCTTGACCAGAAGGATCCAAAAAGTAAAGTATAGGTCATGTTGGGGTATGCTGGGGCCTTTTTGAGGTTTAGGGTGCGGTAAATAACCCTAAACCCTAAACCAAATAGGTAAGGTGGGAGTCGGTTTAGAGATTTTCAGGTACTACTTGTAGCATTCCGCAGTAGCAAGGACTAATGCGGCTATAACTGGGCGACACCGTGTAGAACCTCCAGAAGAAGACTAAAAGGTGCTACTTACCTCCAAACCCTCAACCCTCAACACCGAACCCTAAACCCTATATAGAAGCTTTCAGAAGGATGCTTACCATAACCCTAAACCCCAAACCCTAATAAAAAGGTACTACCGGCAAGGATGTAGTCTCCACAAGCTGTGCCAGCGGCTCCCAGTGATAGAAGTTCACGCCGGAGCCGAAATTGAGCAGTTCCTTGAGATTTCAGGGTTGAGGGTTTAGTTGAACAGTTCCTTGGGTTTTCAAGGGGTTTATTTAGGGCTGAGGGTTTAGTTGAGGGCAGTTCTCCAAACGAGGGTCCCTTTTAGAGTCCCCTTTATACGGGTGTTATATTGTCTTGGGGATCCAAAAGGGGCCCTAATTTGCAGAACTTCCCATGTAGGGTCTACCTGTAGTCTCCATTGTAGTTCCTTTTTGGGGATACCTTATAAAATCCTTAATATATAATTGGTTAAACCAAAAAAAGGAACTACAATGGAGACTATAGGTAAGATTTCAAGGGGTCCAGAGGATGCATTGGGAGTGAGGCTCAGGATTTCTGGCGGATAGGGGGTCGAGGGTACAATTTTCCATTAGACTTAAAGCAAGCTACAGGGGGGGAGGTTTAGGGTATATAGGGCTTCTATAAGGCTTCTATAAAGTATATAGACTTTCTATAAGGCTCCTATAACGGTAACTACCCACCTGAAAGTATCCTAGATAAAAGGGGGCTCAAGAGCTCTGGAGCCAGAAGGGGCTCTCTGTTTTATTGGTGCTTGACGGGTTCCATAAGAATCCTGTAAGAGACTTTACTGGGTTCCACCAGGTTCCTATCAGAGTTCTTGGGCTGTAGGACTTTAGGATTTAAGGCTTAAAGGATGCTTAAAGGCTTGGGGGTTTAGGGTTTAGGGTTTAGGGTTTAGGGTTTAGGGTTTAGGGTTTAGAGGATGCTTAAAGGCTTGGGGGTGACGATTGTTTGGGGGTTTCCTACTCTTGGGTTTGGCTGGTTCCCTTTTTTGTCTTGGTAGTTTGGGGCTAAACCCCTAAACCCTAAATCCCTAAACCCCTAAACCCCTAATCCGCTAAACGCGAAACCCTAAACCCTAAAACCTTACGAGTTGTTAGGACGAGAGACAAAGATCCTGTGACACACGATTGACAGAGCCTGTATAGGATTGGGGTTTACGGTTTAGGGTTCAGGGTTTAAGGCACACTAAATTGGACTTTCCTCGCCCGTATACTGCCGAAACGCCAAAACACATTACTTACGCAGCAGCAAGATTCTGCGTATCGCAATTCCACGACATCGTCCTCGGATATCGCCCTAGTCATGTTGATCCAATACATTGGATCGTCAGGCGGCGCCTGTTCTTGCAGCGTCCATTTCTTCTCCACGAATACGTCGTCCTCACAAAACTCCTTCTGGATGGCTTGCATCGCACGTGCCCACTGCTTCTCGTCCGTGATCTGGCGATGCACATATATTCCAGCATGGTCCATTGCAGGCATGTTCACAAGACTTGCTTCTGACGTGCTATCTGCAAAACTGGCCTTCCCACGAAACTCCCTCAAACCTTCGTCTCATCTGTCCTGCCTTTGCTCTGAAGCATTGTAAAGCTCCTGGTAAACCTGAAACCCTAAACCCTAAACCCTGAACCCAAATCGTCCCCAAACTTACCCAAAAGCCTAAACTCTAAAACCTATATCGGAAACCCTAAGCCAAACAAACTCTCCTTGAACCACGAAGCGTGCGCGGAGACGTCTAGATCCCTCACATACGGCATCTTTCGACATTAGAAAGCATTGCCCTATGCTTGCGGGGACCTCATTATTGGGTCCCTAAACCCTAAACCTTAGACCCTAAACCCCTAACTATAGGGTCGATAGGTTACAGACAGTAATTGTATTCACCAAGACAGAAACAGTACCAATAGTAATGACAACAATAGCACTAGTAATCCATGCAGCTAGAATAGTTACACTTTGCAATAACAATGACAATCACAACAATGATGATGGTAATGGCTCGTAGTCTGGGAGACCTTATTTGGAGTCTCTGGTTGAGGATTTAGCTGAAGAGGCAAACAATTTAAATTTGAAGGTCTCGGAAAGTGTCGGAGCTCGACCATGCGTCAAAGGACTAGGGTTACACGGCTCTGAGTCCTTGTGTATCTTAGAGCCCGCCTTGTAATAGATTGACAGAAAAGTCTTCTTCATAATTCGGATCTCTGAGAAGCACTAGCCACAAGCGCGTGTCGCTTTGATTTAGGGTTTAGAGTTTAGGGTTTAGGGTTAGGGGTTTAGGGTGTATGATGGGTACTATGCCTCGGCTACGTGTAGCCGTGTTGAAACTGCGCTTGCAGTACTGCCGAACAGACTGGAAGGTAGACCCAAAGACTGGTTCATAGAACTTGACGTAATGTAGGGGCCTTAATAATAGGAATAGGGTTTTGGGGGTTCCTTGTTATAATTATAGTATGATATAACCAAAGCCTATTAAAATTATGGCCTCTATATCACCTGTGTGAGACCTTGATTCGAGCTCGATTGAATGATGGTTTGTGTGCATAAACCATTCATGTTCTAAACCCTGCCAAAACCCTACATGCTTGCCTGGTCGCTTACTTGCCTTACTTCAGCTACGTTTGTGTTGACTCGTCGATTCGTGTCTGTTTCGTCCCACTAAGTCTCCGGTTGGTGTCATGTGCTACTATCCTTGGCTGTTCTTCACTGTCCAGCTACTCCAGCTAGCCGTGCCCAAAGCCCTAAGTTTCATCCCTCTGTGCATCTCGGGCCCAGTTGGGCCATGAGTTTACAGGGAGTATCCAGACGGGCAGAGACCAGAGCCATATCGAATCTCATTCTTTTGCCACATCGAAGTCTGCAGTAAAGTGCACCGCCCTTCTGCCGAAGCCCCTGCCAAAAACAACAGTTCGGGCTCTGGACAACTTTGAAACGACGATCGGAATCGGCGCAGGCTTCGGAAACTTCCGTGAATCTATTCATCGGTTCCTATTCTATCATGGAGCCCAAAAAGGGAGCCATGCATCTGGAACCTCGGCAGCGTACTTGTCCGCCGACTCGAGGTCGCGCCGGGTGCAGACAGAGGAAGGAACTGCGTGCAGTAACTATAACAGCAATTGCATTAACAAGGATGCTCGTCTGCCTCGCTCGCATAGGGATATCCAGCACCGTAACGATCATAACACAAGTCGTTACTTGTTGCACTCCGAGAGTAAAAACGACACAACAACCACCTTCATCACGACGACTACTGCCACTGCCACTGCTACTGCTCTGCTACTGCTGCTGCTACTGCTCCTCCTTAACTTAAGGACGCCGGGAACTGTAGTCGTAGACATCACACACACACACACAGAGGCCACCGCCACGGCATCACGCACGCACCGGTCTTGGCAGAAGGCGGAGGGGGAGTCGCTCCGAAACAGCCCCTGTTAGTCATGGATAGTTACGCTAGGGGTCCATGTACCCAAATAGTATATACTTTGGCCTTTAAAGTAGTCTCTATAGAGGTACTTTGGGGCCAAAGTATATACTATTTTTAGAGTCTAGGGCCGACAGTGTTTCCCTGAACCCAACCTGGTTCAACATGACTTTACTACAACACACTCTCAAGAGACAGCCTTCTTGGGAAACAAACCCTTGAGGGGCAGAAAGTTCAGTGTCATGATCCAACGCGTTGCGGAGTGAACAGTTGCGATGATGTCTGCTTCTGCAGTGCCCTACCGATAATCCGACACCTGGCGCAATCACTAGGGTCTCGGCTCAGCAAACACCGAAAAACAGCTCAACCCTGAGTAAACCCTCAATCCAAAACTCCCTAAGCCCTAGTAATATACTTGACCCTAAATCCTAAACCCTGAAGCCTAAACCCTAAACCCCTAAACCCTAAGCCCTAAGCCCTAAACCCTAAACCCTAAACAAACGTTCCTCTGTCGGGCCCAGCCTGGAAATCAAAACTGGATCCCCTCTCCACGGGGATCCGTGCGACGGGTGTTTCTGTCAACTTAGGAGTCATGGTTCTCTTGTGAGAAGCCATAGGCTCTTGTGCAAACTTACAGAAAGCAGCTTGGCAACAACAGACCCCAAAAAACCCTAAACCCTAAACCCTAAACCCTATACCCTGAAGTTCATAAAAGGCGCCCCTAAACTCCAACTCGAAAGCATCAAGCTACTCGACCCTGCGGCCGAAAGTCCCCTCATCTCTGCTAACCTAGGACCCAGAGACTCCAATATCCCTTAATGAAGGAATATACCTTAAATTCTAGTAGGATCCCTATTATGATTTAAGGTATATTCCTTAATTAAGGGATATTGGAGTCTCTGGGCAGAAGAGGGACATCGAAGCTCTGTGCTGCAAATGCCAACATCGGGTCTGGGGCTGAATGCTTAGCACAGAGGCCTAAAGAACCTGAGCCGAGCTTGTTAGTACACTAACTCATCATACTAGCAACCCCTAAGAAATCGCATCTCTATTTGTCCAGGGGCTTATATTGCGTAATTCTGCTTTGGCCAGTTTTCGCGCTACTGGGGTTTAGTTTGATGGTTTGGACCTGTCTCTGCATCCCTTCACGCTACAACCTTGCATGCAGTGTACAGGCCTACGACGAGGCCCAACCCTAAACCCTAAACCCTAGAACCCTAAACCCTAGAACCCTAAATTCTACAACCCCAAACCCTAGAACCCCAAACCCTAGAACCCTACACCCTACACCCTAAACCCTACACCCTAGAACCCTAAACCCGGCACCCTAAAACCCTAACCCCTAAACTGGCTACGACCAAGGCTCCAAAGCAGGCTTTCAGTCGAAATCCCAAGCTACCAAGCTCTACTCCACGGGCCTTGGGGTTTAGGGGTTAGGGTTTATGCTGAGCCTATACTACTTGGAGATTCATGGGTGGTTGAAAGTAGGGTTATGAGTAGGGTAACTATAGTTATATAACCTACATTAGGGGACGTATAACTCCACTTAACACTACCCATGAACCTCCAAGTAGGGCCTATACTGCAACTATCTATGCATGGGCTCTCAGGAGAAAATTTTACTACTGTTGATGACATAAACCCTGCATTACCTGAAGGGCCCTAAACTATGGAAAGTATGGTATATTCAGTTTATTCCTCATGATGGGTAATGCAGGATTTGTATCATCAACCGTAGTACTCCAGACCCCTTTCTTATATATTAGCGCGAGGAGTCCTCAGGATCGATCTCTCCGAGGCGATGCAGTCTCTGCTCACTTTGACCTGGTCAGCTTCTTGTGGTTCGTGGCTTCCCCTAAACTCCCGAAACCCAAACCCATAAACCCTCAACCCTAAACCAAGCCCCAAAGCCTCATGAGTGCATACATACATACATACATACATACATACATACATACATACATACATACATACATTACATACATACATACATACATACATACATACATACATACATACATACATACATACGTACATGAACAAACGCATGCACGCATGCAGTCAAACACATCTATGTAAATTAATAAAGTAGTCAGATGTTAGATAGATAGACAGATAGAAAGAAACAACGACATAAAGGGGTACAGATAGATAGATAGATAGATAGATAGATAGGTAGATAGATAGATAGATAGATAGGTAGATAGATAAACAGATAGATCTTTCGGGCCAGCAGATCGAAAGAAAGAAAGCTGGATAGATAGATCGATAGATGGATAAATATGTAGATAGATACATATATGTCCACACATATGCGTATTGAGCTATGTAGACGGAGGCCTCTGCCGCTTCAATCCTGACGTGCATGGCAACCGTAAACATTGGATCATATAGCTGCGGTTTAGGGTCTAGGGGTTTGGGGTTTAGGGTCTAGGGTTTCTGCATCTTTCAGAATATAGGGACATCAGACAGTGTAGGAAAGTGGGGGCAGACAGCCCGAAGAGATCGCTGCTCAACGGATTCAGGGCCCATACCCTAAACCCTAAACCCAGCGCTCCTAAAGCCAGAGCCTGGAATGATACACCGGAAGCCTATAACAGAGTCTAGATCTTAGGGTATCAGCCATGCAGCCCCACAGTGCCACTAATCCTGAACACTACAAAAACCTGCGCCCTTTAGGCAGCAGCCTGCATCACGAGGATATGCTTTGTACCTTGCGGCAGCAGGAAACCTATCCCGAACACTCATCCGAGAAACTGGGGACTGTTCACCAGGCGACAAAGATAGCTTCTGCCTTCCTGAGCATTCCGATTCCCATGATTACTTGCATTGTCTCTGAAGATTCTCGCTTCCTTGAGGTCTCGCATGCTGATTCGAAGCATCACAACGTCTTTTCCGCCAGGGCATTCCTGATAAGTCTCAGCTTTAGTGTCTGATGCAACCTCTTTCAGTGCAGATCCATTCCTGGTGGCCGGCCGGCTATTCACGGTCCGCGCACACCTCTAAGACCTAAGACGCCGATGAAATTCATTTCCTCCAAGTTATGCATGGGCCTTTAGAAGAGAAGCCATCGCGCCTTCCTGGGATAGACCTTTGACGTCGCTAAATGGACACGGTTTCCATCTGTGAACAACCTCAGCTCCTCCGCAAAAAAAAATCCCCGAAGCTGATACTCCTCCCCCGACATTGCTCATTTCCCGTCGCTGGGCTGACACTTAAGGGCCCAAACTAGCGCTGTCCGAAAAACCTCCCAGAAGCCATAAGCGAATCCTACAATTGAGGAAACGTAGTCGCGGCTCCGATCCCGAGAGGGCTTTAAAACATTAGGTTTGTATGTATGTATCTGTGCATGTATGTATGTATGTATGTATGTATGTATGTATGTATGTATGTATGTATGTGTATGCATATCTATATACATGTACATACGTACATGCGTGCAAACATACATACATACATCCATACATGAATACATGGATACATGCATACATACATGCATACATACATGCATACATACATGCATACATATGCATATACATCCATCCATCCATGCATACATACGTACGTACAGACATAAAATAAATAGTCAATCTGATTTGGGTCTGCTACAAGAACATGGAGAGATGGTGGGAATTGGGCTCTAGAGTAAAGGCTCATCAAAGCCTACACAGCCGAATAGTTCCGAAACCTCTGGGCGAAAACCACGCGTGCGAGAACCCTAACCCGAAAACGCAAACTGTAAACCCTAAATCCTACACCCATAAACGGTAGGGTTCAGCGTTTAGGGTTAAAGCCCTGGCCCTACACCCTGAATCATGCGTCCCAGGAACATAGGAAGCCAAACCAGCCAAGAGAGCAGCCACGGGACCAAAGCTACGCCCAAGAGGGCCTGGAAGAGCTCAGGGATTACCCTAAACCCTAAACCCTAAGCCCTAAACCCTAAACCCCAAACCCTAAACCCCAAACCCAAAACCCAAAACCCAAAACCCAAAACCCTAAACCCTAATTAGTGTCGGCTTTGAGTCTTTGAGGGAAAGAAAAATCAAGGCGTTAGGGGATCAGGGCTTGGGGGTTCAATGTCCAGAGGCTTAGGCTTTAAGGTTTGGGGCCTCTGGGATTTAGGGTTGTTTAGGGTTTTAGCATGAAGGCCACTTCCACTGAGACTCGATAGCCTCTGCGAAGACTGCCATCGTCCACTGGCTTTCATTTCTTGCTTGGGGTTTGCAGGGAACTCGACAAAGTTTTTGTTGCGACTGTCGCTCGTCATAAGCACAGGCTGTGCAAAGCCTGGCTGCAGAGTCCACTACACACCAGTACCGACCCTCCGGATGATTCTTTGCATGAGGTTTCAGCTGCAGGATTTGTCGCACGTTTCGTTGACGACAAGAGCTAGCAAGTGACTGCAATTGCTTTGGCGCTTTGCTTGTGGGCTCTACGCCACAACAGGCCAATTGTTCGGTTTAGCGAACTTCGACGCATGATGGAATGTTAGGGGATTATAGGGCTTTAGGATTTGCGAGGAGAGTGGCAGCACGATGTTCTCGGCACTTTTGAGCTTCGACGGAAGTTGCGATGCTCTGTGCCTAGACGGTACAACTGAAAACCCCGAAGCTTAAACCCTGTATCTAAACCCTCAGTAACTCAATCTAAGCCCCTGAACCCTAAATCCTAAACCTAGACACACTTATTACCTAGGAACCCATAACCACCCAAAAGCTTGACGCAGAATCTTAGAACTTCGCAGACACGGCACTAAACCCTGCAACTTAAACCCCTGAACTAAGAAATCCTGATCCGCAAATCCTTAACCCTAAACCTCAAGCCCCTAAACCCTAAACCTTAAGCCCCTAAACCCTGAACCCTAAACCTTAAGCCCCTAAATCCTAAACCCTCATCCCTGCAGTAGAACTGCTTTGCAGACCACGGTGCTGCCCGCAAAGCGGCAGCCGTTTGCTCCCCATGGGCTTTGGCCGATGTGAGGCGGCAGCCGAAAGCCTCGGAGATGTTGGTTGAGGGTTCCTAATAGGGTCCCTACGATAAGGGATCTATAAGGGTTCTATATGCGGTACAGGGTTGAGGGTCCCTGTAGTCTGCGCACGATCTTGGCCTGCATGTGACTTGGTCTCCGAGCCCTAAACCCTGTAAACTTGGTCTCCCGACTACCAAAGCTATTCTCCAAATCCCTGAACATGTACTTTGAACTTCTTGCTCCCCTTACGGGCAGTGCGATTGCTGAAGCTGCGGAAAGTCTTAAAACTTAAACCGAAGAGCAACCGAAAGCCTGCAACAGAATTCTAAAGCCCCTGAAGACGTGCATTTGCCAGCTATGAGTGGTCTTGGTGACTTGACTTCGTGCCTGTTGTCGAATATATGGCTAGCACACTCGGCTTAGAGTTTAATGATAACTGGGATACTACGTTGTCGTACAGTTATATTGACGAACGCTAAGGAATGATTGCTATATTTTTCAGGCTTCCGGGTCGGTTTAAGGCTTCATGCTCATGCCTTATCCTTCATTTGGGATCCTAACAGTCCGGATGCCAAAGTTAAGCATGAACCTGGTGCAAGGAGACAAGAAATCCTAAAGAAGAACACTATTCCCTAAACCCTAAACCCTACTAGTTAGTTCTTCCGATCTCTAAAGCCTAAACCGTACTAGTTCTTCCGATCTCTACTCGGATGATAGCTCTCTTGATGTTCAGCCAAGGCGGCTGTCACGAACGATGTCCCCACAGATCGGGCGCAAAGCAGCCACGGGGGTCCTCAGTCGTGTGCGAAGTCCCGTGTTATGGAATCGAGCATTCTGGCTTGTTAAGGGTTTTTTTGGGTTTAGGGTATGGCTTCATTCGGAACATCGAAACTCAAACGACTCACTACTGTAGGTGTACGGTTCCCCTATAAAACGCTCCGGCAAGCAAGACGTCTAGCAGCCTGCACCAGCGAGTTCGACAGCAAGGGTACGAGGTATTGTCATTCGGTGCTGATACTCTGGGCATGTACATATACATACGTACATATACTACCTATGTGTGTGTAACTCTGTCTGGCTGTCTGGCTGTCTGTCTGCGTGTCTGTCTGTCTGCTAGTCATGTGGTCTTTGATGTACATGCATAGGTACATGATTATGTACTGATGTATGAAACATGAGTACGTACGTTCCTCGTTTGTTCACCCCCGTAGTCAAAGTCTTTTTTACCCTAATGTCTTGCTATAACCTTCGGCCCTTTGCTCTCGCCTGCCCATCTACACAGTTGCTAGTTGAGGGAATGAGGCCTATAGGCTAAAGGCCTAAAGGCCCAACTCAACTGCTTCGTTGAGGCTAGGGCAAAAGCTCCTAACCTGCAAGCGACTCGTGCTCTGGGATTCTAACTGCTGAGCTTGGCACCAGCAAGCAACGACATTGAAGAGGAAGAGAAGCGACACCACTGCCCAAAATTTGGCGGAGCATTTCATGACCTGATGTTTTAAAGTAGGCTTTTGTGGCTTGGACGTCAAGCTTAGGCCCAGGCTATAGGAATCATGATGTACTGAGGCTGAGGGCTTGCAAAGCTGACAGTGCAACACAGAAACACTGACTGCAGCAGTCAGAGGGGAGAGATGGGTAGGTGTTGCCTAGGTGCATGCCAATGCATGCATGCATCTGACTCTGTCCGCTGGGTTTTATGAACCCGAGTCCTGCGCAGTCGAATTTGCCCGACCTGATACACTGGACTCGCACGGCCGGACTCTGCTCCCTTCTCAACCCTCCTCCTCATCCAAAACCACACCAACATACGAAGACCGATCGGACCGTGCAGCCAAGACTAACCCTAGACCCGAGATTCGAAACAGACTAGTAACCCTAAACCCTACACGTTATCAAAGCTATTTCCTTTGACTATAGAGGGCCCTGTCCTATAATGTAAGCAAAATCGTTGTCAGTTCTGGACTAGTGGGCTTTTCCATGCACCCAACCGCCTGCTGTGTGTTGAGCCAAGGAGCTGCAATGAAGACGGTCGCTCCAAGAAACCTAGACAGATGGTTGAGGATTCCTAGCACGTTTTGGGTTTAGGGTCTGGGGTTTTAGGGTTTAGGGTTTAACTCAGTGATCCTCGTATTGATGGTTGCGAAGAACGAAGAATAGGCAATACAAACCAAACATGTTCACTACTGATACCTACCTGATCATGCACCTGTGGGCAGCCAACACATTCAGAGGAATGCCTAGTCGCATCTTTGTTATCAAACCCTAAACCCTAAGCCCTAAACCCTAAACCCTAAACCCTAAACGGCAAGGCTGAGAAGAGCCCAGGGATTTTGGTGTTGGAGGTTGGCGTCGGCGAGCTCTTGTGGCTTCAGGAGAGGCCGCAATGGGCGAGGCGGGGAAGCGGGGCTAGACCCACAGCCCTTAAGAGGACACGTCTATGGGGCTGCACTCAATACCTTTCGAGCTGCTGACCCATGTTATTCAAGTACCCAGAGACTCCAATATCCCTTAATTAAGGCATAAACCTTAAATCATATTAGGGATCCTACTAGAACTCAAAGTATATTCCTTAATTAAGGGATATTGGAGTCTCTGGGGTACCAGGCTGATGGCGGGCTCAGAATTTCCGGGAAGTGCAGGGTTTAGGGTCCACGCTGGGCCACAGTAACGATGTTTTCAGAGTTGGGTTTAGGCTTATAGGCATACATATGGCTTGATGCGTTCTACGTCCCCAAACCTTAAACCCTAAACCCTAAGCCTAAACCCTAAAACCCTAAAACCCTAAAACCCTAAACCCTAAACCTTAAAACCTAACCCTAAACCCTAAACCCGAAACCCTAAACCCTAAAACCTAAGCCCTAAACCCTAAACCCTAAACCCGACACCCTAAACCCTAAAACCTAAANNCCCCCCCCCCCCCCACCCTTCCCGCCACCCACTGCAAGCCCGGAGGTCTCTAGCCGACCTGAACCTCTGAAGCCCTCAACTCTGAACCCTAACGTAGGAACCTTAAGTAGTAGAATCGGATTTCATAGGGTTCCTTTAAAGGGATC